TGTGTATGTTAGCAGTCTAGCTCAAAACCAAAAAGTCGTACGAAACTGATATTACGTATTTAAGATAGGTATATGCCTTAGATGTAACAGCAACTTTTTCCTTAAAATCGGCTAACTGAAAGTGCCACTTTATATCAACGCTGAAATACATTTTCACAATTTTCTCAAAGAAGGCTCTAACGATTTTGATTAAACTCGGTATACCGTTGTGTAATAAAGAGGTCTTTAATATCAATCAGGTCTTATCCCCCATTGATGTCACTTTACAGGGCTAAATGCCCAATGTTCATATACGTCTTCCTCTAAAGTACCTTTTTTTTTTTTTTTTTTATATATTTGTTTATTTAGAAATATCACATTCTGTCACATCAAGGACATTTGTAATAGTGTTCAGAGAACACACTCACACTCTATTTACAATAAATAAATAAAATAATAATAATACAGAAACTTAATAATAATAAATACAATAAAATAAAATAAAAATAAATACAATAAAATAAAATAAAAATAAATACAATAAAATAAAATAAAAATAAATACAATAAAATAAAATAAAAATAAATACAATAAAATAAAATAAAAATAAATACAATAAAATAAAATAAATGTATATAAACAAAAGAACTAACCTAATCATACACACTCCGGCTTGAGTGGAGGATCTGGCCATTGCCAAAACTCCAATAGATGCTTATTTACAGAAGGTCTCTGGGCCACTGCCGCTTCAACCTTCGAGGAGGATTGTAAGGATGGGTGGTGCTGGATAGAGATTGTGCAAGGGGATTTGGATGATAGGTAAGGTTCTGGTGAAATTTGGAGAATTTTTCTGGAATAAGGTCTAGGACAAATGGGATATTAAGGTCATGGTGTAGGATTTTGTTATTTACATAGAACGGAGCATCAACTATTGTTCGAAGGACTTTAGATTGAAAGGATTGAATACGTTTGATGTTAGAAGCTTTTGCTGTCCCCCACCAAGTACCTTTAATATGGTTTATTTTAACAAGTTAATCGTCTCACATTATTCAGAGTTACGAAAAAAATGCTAAAAAAAACTTTTGAAAGAATTTGATAAGTTAATAAAGGAGAAAAAAATAAAAGATCCGCTATTATATTTAAGTAATTAGGTAGCAACGTCCGTTTATTCTGAAATATTGTCATCTAACTTTTTAGTGAATAATTTGATGAATCTTCCCTTTGTGATATTCCAACAGTATCCACTACTATTTCATTGTCCTTGTGTGAAAGAAGAAGTGAAAGATAAGAATATTTCATAGATACGTTTATAACCTTAACTATATTTACTGTAGTTTAATAGCTCCAGATCTGATATTATATTTGAATATTTAGGTATCTATCGTCCGTTTATTACAAAAAATCATCAAGTAACCTTTTAGAAAATTAAATTAGTGAATAGTCTGATGAAATTTCCTTTCTTGATATTCGAATAGTATCCACTTACAATTATTGTGACAACTTTGGACCTGTCTATGACAGACAATGCAAATCTCTTAATTGCGTGTTAGTAAACTTTGCAATGGAAAATAACAGTTTAATAACTAATAGTCGTACAATCCATAATCAATGGATCGCGCAATCCGTAACCAATGGATCGTACAATCCATAATCATCCGCTGATATAATAAATAGGACTTTTGTTATTTTCATGTTATTTATGATTTCTTGGCTATAATTTTTTAGCTTTTGCACAGTTAAAAATGCAATTCAAAAATTTTATAATAGCCAGATATGGTCAGAAAATAATTTCTATTCAAAGTTGAGCGGTATTTGAATGTTGTGTGTTGCGCCCGCCAAATTTTTTTATATTTATTAATAAGAAGTGTTTTTAGGTAATTATGTTTATTATAATACATCCGATATCACGGATAAACAAGAAGTTAAAGGTTTGCAACAGACAATTGTAGTCATTTTCGCTGAAAACACGGTTACTTTTAGGTGACTGAATAGCAAATAACACAACTTGAGGTGGCTCTCCAAATCGTTCCTAATAAACATCAACTTAATTAATATGGACTTAAAGCTTATTAAATGAGGAAGTTCTTCTAAAATTGGGGTAAATATAATACAGTTAAATAGTGATAAAAAAAACAAACACATTATTTATGATTTTTTTTAAACGGAACTTAGCCGTGTTTTTCCGCCCAATATTTCTCTTTAAATAGTTTTAACAGTGACAAACTATAATTTTATTTAAAGAAAGTTTTGTATAGTTTACTATGGAGCTATGTTTAGTTACTTAAATAAAATATTTTATAAGTTATAGCTTGCTATTCAACAAAAAACATGACTCGCTTAAGATAACACAAATCTTAAAGTACCTACTTTTCTACGGGAAATTGGGCAATTGTTTATTTGAACTTTTTGGTAGATCTTGATGGTTCCTATCAACCTTTTAAATATTTCTCCCTACACGTTCGCACTCGTGGATAATATCAATTGATATGAGTGGTCTCATATCATCGACGGACATCTGTCATTTTTAGAAAGTGGAGAAAAGGTTAATTTTTGTTTTATACTCAAACTGTTTCTAATGATTGTATTTAAGATTATTCGAATTGAATCAGGAATAAAAATTATTTGAGTTTGTTTAAATTGAAGTGATTTTACAAGAATTGGCTCTTTATCAACTTTTTAAAAATGAGTCAGTCTTTGATATGGGCCCACTCATATGCTCCATTATAACGAAGGCCTAACACATGCCAAAGTGCTCAATAATCTTATTATGTAGCTGCCCAACTACTAGACCAATTCGGATTATTAGACACCTTAGGTAAGACCGCCCTTATTTTATTTTTTTGAATTTTCTTCAATGATAAACCGTCTAGGTCACACGATCTCAGGAAATGTCTCACAATCCCAGATAATGTTTGTACTAGTACTAAGTCGGTATTCCAAGATGGCACCTGATTTCAAGAACATCTCGATCACACTGTAAATCAAATCCCGAAATCAATTTTTCTTTTCTACGTAGGCTTTTTCCCTGCTTTTCCTCGGGGATACTGTTCACAAGGAAATTTATAGGCTTTAGGCAAGTTTTATTGAAACCGATACCAAAATTAATCTATCGTCATATTTATTGGACTGGTTTTATTTTCTTCTAAAGTTTTTCTGGTTTCAAAATTGCACGTCTCGCAAATTAAATTCAATATATGTACTTGACGCTATAGTAGGAACGTAGCACTCGAAAAGGTGAAGTACATGTAGTCGAAAAAGCTACTAATAAATCAATTAATTCGTCCATAAACAGAGCAATCTCAAGGGAAACCAATAACCGTTGCAGATATTGTGAAATCTGTCTACATGCCGGCTGAAGCTGGGAGATCAACTTATATTACAAGCCGAACGGGCAAGAGACTAGCGGATGTAATCAATGGGTTGCCTTCACCAAATGAAATTGGCTTAAAGGCTTCCGTACGACCAAGGCTGGTTCTGTGCTGGTCAGCATGGATAACAGTAGCGATGTGGTGGTGGAGTGTGGAAAGGGCTACGAGATGACCTTCATGCCAAACTTGACTTGAGAAAGAAATTTATATTGAAGGTGCAGGGGATCTCCCTCTCACGGGATTCTCAGGAGTTGGTGAGATTTTTATTAGGAAGTCGTTCACCACTCGGAGAATCGGGTGATGAAAGTGCACCCTACGGCTCGGTTCTTGCTGTTGAAAAAAGTATACTTAGATGAAGAATGGTTGAATATTACCATTAAAGATTACCTCGATGCAGTAAAATCCAGGGATATGGGCACATGTAGGCCACCTGCATATCTAATGCTGCAGTCTGTATTATGTGCTCATCCACTGGCCATGTTATTAAAGATTGCCATAGGAAAAAAGAACTGGCTAGTCCATCATGCTTACTGTGAGCAGATGCATGCACCTACCAGTAAAAGGAAGCTCAAGGCGAGTAGCCGGGATTACACTATGCACCTGAAGTGGTCTAAAGAAGTAGCGAAGTTGACCTATTAGGAGAGAGCTTACCATCCTCCAGCTCAACAAGGACCGCCGTCATGTAGTGGTAGTCGAATTCAGTGCTTTCTTTCTGCGCTACGATTTTATGGCGGTCCAGGAACCGAGCTGCCGCAGGAACTTTGTAACAGGGTTTGGCCTGAGATCGAGAGTTATAGCTCTACGCAGTAGAGAGAGGAGTCCCAGGGCTACTATTGTGGTTAACAACCCTAACCTCGATGTGATGCATCTGAGCCAATATACCACGGTGGATATAATAATAGAAGAAAAGCAGGAGAGGCAGAAAAAAAGAGAAGAGCAAGCTGTGTGCACAGCTAAGGAAGAAAAATGTAATCCTTTAAAAAAGCATCAGGTGGGTTGTTATAACAGTAACATACCACTGCTGCCCGTATTGCCTAGAGGCGAGGGAGGGTTGAAAATACATAAAAAAAAGAAATTTGTGGATCATCCACAAAGTAAATTTCAGCCTACTCAGGCTGGATACGGACCAGTGCCGTTGGACTCGAGAATGTTAACAAGGGAAATGGCTCAGTTACGTTGACTTGTTAAAATATTGCTCTTCGACAAATTAGTAAAATTTATTAGAATAAGTGGTAGAGTACCCGATAAGATAGAGTACCCGACAACCTGATCAACAGAAGGTTACGAGTTCCAATCCCTGTACCCGTGGGACTTTTAATTCTGCCATTAATCCCTCACCCTCTCCTCTTGCTCGGGAATAATCCCGTACAACCAAAAAGGCAGGGAAGGGGACAAAGAAAAAGCTACCAATGGATGTTAGTCCTCGAACAGCATCTTGTGTGATAAATTTATTTAATTTCTAAAGAAAAATAATTTAAATTACCTCATAACTTTTAATTCATTATCATTTATTACCATCGTTTTCAAATGATAATAAACAGAAACATAGATGTCTTGACATAAATTCTTAAGTAATGGAATTTTTATGGCATAAGGGATAAAGATAACATTCATTATCATTTATGCATTAGAAAATCAATAGTTATTATTTACCGTTAGCTTCTATTTGAAGATTTGTTTCGTTGCAAGCATATCTAAGAGGTGGTTCGATATCGGGGCTGCAGGTCTTCTGCATCAAGAAGTAGCGAATCACTACAGAGTAAGTCCAGGCTGAGAAGGTATACAGGAACACGGCAGGTTCCGAAGTGAATTCATACCAGGAGGTCTTCATCGTCACTGACGAACTGGTTGATTGAGCTACCGATAGATAACTTATCGATCCGTATTTCAAATCTCAAGTGATTTATAACGTTGTAGACTTTCTGTGTCATCTCCTTTCTGGTCGTCCATACATTTTTTTTCCTTTGATAACAGAAATAAAGCTTATGTAATATGAGTCTCATTATTATCGCCAGAAATGAGCTATTAGTGAATGCTTTGAACTTTTCTTATTCAAAATATGAAGAAGATAAATAGATAGGATTTGCAGGCCGGATATGTTTTATTAGACCTTCCGACGTTTCAGCCCAAGCAAGTGGGGAATCATCATGGCAATGATTACTGTCTAGTCCAGCAACAAGAACTGCAAACATATCCAGGCTACTAATCCTGATTATTTACATATCTTCTTTATAATTCAAAAATAACAGTTAAAACATAAAAACCATCCATAGAGTAAATTGTTCTTGGATAATGATTCCATAGTAGGTTTATCTATTGCTATGGTGTGGTGTAACGTTATGTTGATCGCCAAACTAAATGGACCTTACAACACTAAATATAGACTAGTAGGCCCTTGCATATAATTCGGATATGCTTGATTGCGGACACTAGCGGATCCAGGATTTAATTTTGGGGAGGGGCTCCAGCCCGAAAGCTTTTTTTTCATAAAAATAACGATAATTACTTTGGAAAAAAAGAAAGAAACTAACTAAGTACCTATATGAAATGTTGTTTAAGTGATTCCTAAACCCCTTTTAAATGTAATTACACGAACTTTAAGAGATAATTTTTTAATATTTTTTTCGATAAAATATGGTTATATTTTACCATTTTGGGAGGGGCTTCAGCCCGAGAGCCCCTCCCGTAGATCCGCCCGTGATTGCGGATATTCATTGATCAGTGAAAAAATGACAAAATAATGAGGGTTTAGAGATAATGGGGTGAATAAGAGAGAAATGTGACCTTTCTCCAAATACTTTCATTATCACTAAATCGTTAATCCAAATTACAAGTCTTAAACACAATATCGAGGTTATAGCCGTGATATCAGTAAAATCTCAGTGCGCGGATCACCAAACTTTCACTCCTCGCTCTACTTTGAATAGTAATCATGGAAAAATTGTGTATTACTACGTTTTTGCAGTTCTTAAAGCTAACTTAATAAACTAACACCTCCTGTAACACCTCATTAAGACCATTAAAATAACCCAATCCCTATTAATTACATTGATTGTAGGCAATAAAATCACACATATGTAATTCAAATCTGTGAACTATATATGCCTAGAGAGATTTGAAAGTATATCTGAATATTTAACCTATAAATGACTAAGAATTTACAACTATTTATTATTATATTCTTATTTTCAATTGCAAAGTTTACTAAAGCGAAATTACGAGATTTTCGTTTCTACCATTGATTGGTCAAAAGTTCTCACACTAATTGTAAATGGATAATGTTATGATTACATAAAAGGGATCTTAATCAAATTATTCACTATTTTAATTTTCTAAAATGTTACATGATGAGCTTTCGGAATAAACCGATGATAGATTCCTAATTATTTACATATAATATCGGATCTAGAATTATTAAACGAACGTAAATGTATTTAAGTTTATAAACATATATTTAACTCATTCATAAAATATTTTTATATTTCACTTCTTCTTTTACACAGGTAAAATAAAATAATATTTTTATTTATTTATTATTTATTTATTTTTAAAATAATATTTACAACGTCATTGCCTTGATTCGGTAGATTTTATACACTTTATTTTGAATTTTAAAATAATTTTAAAAGTTTACATTTAGTAGAAATTTTCATTTAATTCCCTTTAAAACATATGTTTTTCGTTAATGATATTAGTTTTCAGAAATTCTCATTTATAATTTTTCGTCAACCTCCATTACCTTCTACGACTTTTTTTGTTAGATATTATTTTTTCTAAAAGTCTCAGTTATAGAACGATATATTATATCTATATGTTTTGACTATTATTTCCGGTAATTCATTTTCAACCTAGAACAACATTGTTCCTTTTTTCTTATTTAGAAAATTATCAACTTCTTTCATAGATTTAGTCTTTTTTTAATACTGCTAACAATAAGAGATAGTTAATTATCTTAAACAAATCAAATTAAAGGTATTTTAGGGGAAGACATTTTGAACAGTAGGCATTTAATTTTATCAAAAAATGTTTGATCCGTTAACGAGAAAAATATATAAAATTGACGATATAAAGTGGCACTTCCGGTAAGCCGATTGTAAAGAAAATGTTGCAGCAACATCAAAGGCACTACCTGTAGTCCGGGGTACAGACTCCTTTTTATCAAATTATTAACATCCGGCTGAAACGTCGTAAATAGCCTCATCTCATCGTAACCTACAAATATTTTGTTTACGAAAATTCTTGGAATTGGGGCGTTTTCAATCTGGAGGTCGGCAAACTTTGTCTATTTAATTAGGCTAGTGTGAATGTTATCCTGCCTCACTATAACTAGTGTCCATGTGACAGTTTGTTGTAATACTCAATAAATGAATAAATAAAAAAAAAATTAGGTAGTAAAAATTCGTAAATATCCATTTGCTTTTCACTTTAATCGTTAGATATGTTGAGCACAAAGTAGAGAAAAATGGTGAAAATATTGAGCCGTTTGGTGTGACCTGCACTCCTAAATTATCAAAATAACAAGGTTATATAGGCCAAACGACACAATATTTTTGAAGGTCACCTTTTTTCCTCGATTTTTTGATCAAGTTATCTTACGATTTAAGAGGAAAGCAAATGGGTACGAATAATTCGGAGACGAAGTTTCAACTGACTGTTAATAATTTGATAAAAAAGGATCTGTACCACGGACCACTACCTTAAATATGTAATTTCAGTTTCGTCGGACTTTTCATTTTTGAGTTAGACTGTTCACATACGTACATAACATTTACATACTGATCATTTTGTGGGTATTGGCTATTTGAACTCACGGAATCTCAAAATGTATATTTCCATTGAAAACTCAGTTTAGAAATTTTTCATGAAGCAATACTTTTCCTTATCGTATATTATATATATAGATAAGTGAAAGTAAAAAACATATTATTAAACTTATTGTAACTAAACATAAAAAGAAGAAATAAAAAGTTTCAAGTGAACGCGGCAATGACAAATCCATTTTACACAATCTCTTTGCTCACGCCAGCTGTGTGTACATAATTCACTACACAATCGTTACAAGGAAATAAAGTAATGCAATGTATCATGAGATAGAGGAATCAATTTTCATTTTATCGGTAATTGTAATTGAGCAAGGACAAGAAAAAAAATCTAATACTTCATTCATGTTTGAAGCCAACATCTATACAAATTACAATAAGCTGTATCTTTGCTAATAGCGATCCGATTTCAATGAATTTTTAAATTTTATTGTAGGAAATTTAGTAATATTTCAAATAATCATGGTTCAAATCAACAAGAAATTCTATATTTTTTGAGTTATTCGCTAATACCTTATTAATAACTTTTAGATTTAACGTCCCAATAATGAATTATCTCTGTTTAGCTGAGCAAGAAGATTAAATATAAGACTTTTTAAACTGAAAAAAATAGTTTAGACTTATTTATGTTTATAAGTTTACTTACATTGTTCTACCGATAAAACAGGCCGCAGGAGGTGTTAAACCTATCGGTGTTTTTGAATCTATTTTAGAGACTCGAGGCTTTATACTTTGAATCATTCAATTATATTTTAACAATTGAATTGCGTTTATATTTCAGTTTATACTCGTTTATATTAATACATTCAATTACAGATTCGCTCAGGAAAAAAGCTACAGAAACCCAATCACCCTGCTATAATTTTAGGAAGTTCTTCAACCTAAAATAATATACTTTCCGGTTGCTTTCAATCAATCAATTATAAACGCCCACTTCTGATTATTTACACACTTGGGTTTTTATTAGCAATTACAACACCAAAGATAATAAATTTTTATTCTTCAAATGGTAGTTTGCCCCCGATGCTTAAAGTACATACACCACTTGTAGGAACAATAATGACTTTCTTATACTATTCTTGTCTCCTTCCTCAGCCCATGCCAGTACTCTTTTATTTAGTTCTGGGATAGCATCAGAGACAGTTTTTATAATCTGTCTATGCTCCTCATGCTACCCATTTTTTTTTTCCACCTTGAAAATGAAGAAGGAAAAGCAGTATCTTGAGCCTTCATGAAGGCTCAAGATGCTACTTTCATGTCTTCATTTTACAAAATGGAAAAAAAAAACTATACAGTGAGGGTAACTATAGAAAATTATTAACAACATCGTTGCAAAAAAGATGGTAAATAATACTCATTAATCGCTATATACCTTTTTATAATCCTATTTATCACTTTGTTTCTTTTTGATCAAAAATTATCAATATTCAACTTTTGAAATTGACTAATAACATTAAAAATTAATCTCTCTAAAAAATTTGAAGTTTTACATTCCAAGACGCGTTCAGCAAATAATCGAATAAAAAAATCTGTCCATTCACCGTTCGCTGATTTTCACCGAGACTACTGGACCAATTATTTTAAAATTCGACGAAATTTACAGTTCAACCCAGAGTGATTCTCGAAACTTGTCATTAGTATATCCCACAATTAGTTTCAAAATGAGTGATGAAATTAATGAGACCAACTCAGCACTAGCGGATCCAGGATTTAATTTTGGGGGGGCTTCAGCCCTAAAGCTTTTTTTTTTCATAAAAATGACGATAATTACTTTGAAAAAAAGAAAGAAACTATCTATGTGGAATGATGTTTAAGTGATTACTTAAGTACTTTTAAATGTAATTACACGAACAATAATACTTTAAGATATAGTTTTTTGATATATTTTTCCATAAAACATGGTTATATTTTACCATTTTTTGGGGGGGGGGGCTTCAGCCCGAAAGCCCCCTCCCCGTAGATCCGCCCGTGCAACTCAGTAATATATGAACAGAGAGCAAAAATTTGAAGTTTGAACTGGAATTATTATTGTTAT